GTGTGAAACTTCTCTCTTATCAATAGTTTAATATTGATATCTGGCATTGCCCTTTAACATTTCATAAAGCTCTTATCAAGGCAGGAAATTGGACAGTGCGAGAATATGGAAATAAATATATGGAAAACACGCATTATCATGAGTAATTAAATAGTTTGACAAAATGTCTTAGTTTAGCTGACAATATGCTTTGAGAAAAATTAAACAAAAAAATGGAACCCACCTGCAAGCACTACCTTTCGGATTAAATAGAATTATCAAAATCGGCCCACTAGCTGTGGACTTATGCCGTAACACAAAAAAAACATACAGACAAATAGAGTACCTCCTTTTGGGAAGTCGGTCAAAAACAGTCTCATAGTAAATCTGCGTTATCTATAATAACAAAATATTACATCATTAGTGTTATATATCTGATATTATTTACGTTAACCCAATCTGTAGTATTACGATACATTCATAAGTTTACTGAATAACTTGACTTCATATCGTAATTATAAACTCCCGCTACTTTTAGAAGGAACTCTTAGTACATGGTAAGTAAAACAGCAAGTCAATACAGCTGAAAAACATATGTACGTCTACTTCTCCGTTGGTTAAGGGTCCACGCATCTGCAATTGCGAATGTATATGGGCAGTAACGTACGCTGTCCGCGTGGAAATAAAAAAATAGAAAAAAAATATAGCCTATGTCACTCACTGATAACGTAGCTTTTTAACGGTGAAAGAATTTTTGTAATCGGTCTAGTAGTTTTTTAGTTATTTCGATACATAGAAAAATACAAATCTATCCTCTTTATAATAGTAGTAAAGGCATACAAATAACTAAAGGCCGTAGTTTCCTGATATATACCATATGTGACCCCTCTTGTCGGTATGCAAAAACATATGCCCTCTAAGGCCCAAAATATTTCCTTGCCCGCTATTTGGCCCTTGTGTGTGCAATTTTTTGTCCATTCAAAGTACCGTTTTGATGATAAAAACAGGGATCAGAAACATTTCCAAATTTCTGTCATTTGTTAATAAATGTAATTTTGTTAAGATATTTAAATCGGTATAGTTTTAAAGTTTACTCATTACAAGTAAACTATATTTTTTAACAATTTAATATTGGCTTAGTTGTGTAAATTAAATTAGCATTGAGGTGAGAAATAGTCCAAATAAATGTTAAATAAACTTTTTAAATAAACGTCCAATTATTAGTTGTACTTGAAAAAAAAATTAATTAATATTAATTGTATAAGTGTGTTATCTTCAAAGAATAAAAAAATGGCTTCATTACTAATATTGTTTCCATTAGAAATGTAATTATTTAATGCCTTATTTTTAGTTCATAGATAAAGGCACCCTAATTCACTAAATCAAGGGTTCTCGCGGAAGATCAGCGCTGGTACTTCAATTAGAAGAATCCAGCATTTATAGCTGAGCGAGTACCCAATCCTGCCACCATTGCAACGCTAATTTTAAAAAATTCTTTTTTTTTTCATTTCATTAGTTAGGTTTTTCATTATTTTGTGTTTAATTACTTTTGTGATTCATAATTGTAGTGTTGATAAGGATTAAACATTACTTTATTTTATTTATTTATGTAAAATATATGATGCATTAGTTTTAAATGTATCAGCTGTGGGTAATGAAATATTATTCTCCAAATAATTAGAGTATGGTAACCTTGTCATGGTACACCTTCAACTAAATCAAAAAGTAACTTGGGACATAAAAAGTATGAAATCGATTTTCTTTGTTCTTTTCCCATGCATGTTGTTTACACCTGCCTACCTAAGCTTGCGTCACATTCCCACTGGAGGGTAGACTTTTGTCTCTTTCACCCCCGTTCTTTTTTGTTGTTTGTCCTCTTCTACTTTATAACTATAGTCCCTTAAAGTTTTTGTATTCTTCACCCTTATGCGCCATGTGTGTGCATTTCGTGTAGGTGTGGGTACTAGTGATGCACCGATGTTAAAATATAATTATTTACATCGATGTTTTTGGAATCGATAATTTTGTTTATTCGATTTATTTTGAATTTCATTACATTTGTTTTAAATTATTGCCCTTGATTGATCATAAAATGTTAAGAATTGAAAGAGATTTTTTTGCTACACCAAATCTTCCTGAAAAGTATCTTAAGTCTCACACCAGCAAGTTTTCAAAACTCGTAAATCCAAAAATATTTCTGTCAAATTCATACTTCCTTTTTCTTCGGTTGTCAGCTCTCAATGTAGTCCAAGATGTATCGATATTTTGACAAAATATCGATATGAATATCGATAATCCGATCTACCACCCTCTTTTATAAGTGTGGCTACTAAGATTAAAATTTTCTGTCAGTGTGTTTTGAACCCTTACAATGTTCGGGTCCCATACGTAGACATGTTGTAACTTGAAAACTTTTGGCGGGAAAACATGGAGTGTTAGTGCAATTGTTTTGTTTTTAATGTTATTAGTTTTGTTATTGTGAATATGGCTTTTTGTTGGAGTTTGTTAAACTGACGTGATGTTATATGTGTAAGTAATTTATTGAGAACATCATATTTACTTATTTTATTTCATTTTATTAACAGTATTTTTTACAATTTTCTTTATTTCAACTTCTTAAGTAATTAGACGGTAATTATACTTGTGTATATTTTTTCCCTGACTGATAAAAAGGTTTTTTCGCAGATATGTGTCTTATTGTTACCGCTTATAGTCAACAATATTTGGTAGAATTTGTAGTGTGACATGTCTAATTGTACTCTTCCGTATTAAAACTAAACTAAATTTTGTTAGGTTTCTTTTCTATTTATGTAGGTTAGTAAAAAGTAAAAAACCACATAGATTTGATCAACATCGAGTAACCAAATCGTTGATTTGTTTGTGAATTCGATTATCTTACTTTGTACCGTCGAAAGTTTAGATGGATAGATTGATTTTGTTACTACTTTTAGACAACTTATTTAATTGATACTGTCGCTTTTAACTCAAAGCAATACTTCTCGTCAAGACTCAAGTTACGCGCCAATCTATCCATACATCTAGTGACATTGACAGCTGTCAGCTAGGGACGTGTAGTTTATGCCGATAATCTAGAGTTGCGCCAATTCTATAGCACGGTACTAATTTTATTCCTAACACTACCTACCTCGATAAACAATGGGTCTAGTCTGTAAGAAGGTATGGAATATACTACTAAGGGTTTTTTTTTAATTCCGCGCGAACGAAGTCATTCGACAACTAGTCTATACTAAGTAAAACTTTATCAAACTTAGGGGATAAATATTTTGGATAAAACCCCTAACGTGGGAAAGAGACCATAAGTTGCTGCCAACATCAAGGAAGTAAGATTGCCATAGTAAGGTAATTAGTATTTTGACATTTGCAATTAAGAATTTGATAAATGTAAACAATAAAGTCAAGTTTTTATAATTACATGCGGATGAGCCGCACGGGAACAGCTAGTACATATATAAAGATATCACGTTTGCGAAATTACCAATGAATGAGTGTGCGAACTGGTTTCGAATCAGCTGATATGTCCGTCGGTATGCATGAATTACCTTTAAAACATTCTTATTTCTATTCTTACCTCACCGTCGGCGACGATCGGATTATTATTGGTTCTTAAAACCGGTACCGGCTACATTAAACCGGTTATACATTTACCTATACGATTTTGAACTTTAAACTCATAGACATAAAGTATAGAATACATTGTATTGTTGTTAGGGATAGCTTAAACGTCATAGTTCTTGGAAAGCATACGTCTACAAATTGAAGAATGATTGGCGCCATTTTTTGTTCTCGTTGTTACAAATTGTTGATTGGTATTGTTGGCAACCTTCAAGGAATACTGGGTCCTTTAACCCTATGTATACTCGGTACTTTTGAAATTCTTTGTACAGTAATGGACTGACCCTGTATGATTCTAGCGACTTTCCGTTTGTATGGATGTCTATAAAATATCGATATAATGGGTCTTGAACGCGCGTTATCAAAAGCGTGTATTTGAAAACACTCAATGGATATTTAGGGTTGTAATAAATGCTTTTTATTCAATATTTTGACATTTATAGTTAAAAATTTACTTAAATTAATCAATCAAATATGGGGGTCGCCAGTGGATAATCTTTGTTAGATCTTAGGGGGGAGGGAATACCTACCCTACCTTTTTGGATTCTCTACGAGGGGCAAATGCCTCCTCCTGGCGACGCATTTATTGACAAACTGACTGTTGCCCCCGACTTCCTCCAGGCAATATTAAAATAAAAAGGAGCCTATAAGGAAATAATATAAAGTAGATAATATGCCCGTCTATGTCAGCTACCCTCCAGTGAAATTCCGGGCGAAATCGGCCGTTTCGGAGATTACGTGGAGCAAACGCGGCTTGCGGACAGACAGACAACATTTTTGTTAAATGCGATTTTTGTTATTAGTAACGTAAATACATCATCTTCTTAAGTATTTTTCTTTTGATATTTCAAACAGACATTCCAGTTTTATTATATGTAAAGATTAGCTTTTTTTAATGTACAAATACAAAACATTCTCACTGGTGGTCTTTCGGGGTATTTTACTTACAAGATAAAGTCATTAACATGGCAAGATTTTTGATAAGAACGGGTCTCTCTTGTTTTTATCTGTATAAGAGAAACTTTAAATGTTATGCATTGTTAATTAACATACGGACAGAAATATTTTATCTCAGTTTAATTTATGTGAGGTAAAGCGTTTTGTTTTCTAATTTCCAATTGTAATAAAAACAGAATTGATTGGTAGGTTACAAGGATGCTTTACGTTTACCCCAAGGTACTTCTAAAACAAATGGTAATACAATTTCGCATGAAATGATACTAGCTTTAACCCGTAACTCCGTCCGCGTGGAATTAAGAAAAACAAAAGAGAGTAGCCTATCTGTTCTACCAGACTATCCTCTATATCTATACCAACATAGAAATCCGTTCAGCCGTTTACGTTACAAACTAACAAACATCCGATGTAATATTTACGTATGTTTACAGACGTAGCGGCTATGAGTCAGACACGAGCGAGTATTCAGAGGACTCGACGGCGTACGACGATGCGCCGACTACAACCAAAGGTGCTGGGCAGAGGAAGAATATCAACAGAGGTCGATGGACCAAGGAGGAGGTGATTATCTTTGTTACACCTCCTTTATCACTAAGATGTCAATAGATAGAAAAGGAACGCACTGTACTAAAACATAAAAGTTATTTTAACATATAAGCACTATAGGGCCGGCTCGCCATGTGCAATACAACGACCACACAAGACAGCCGTGAAGTGTGAAGACAGAGTGTGTGACGCTTCCTCTTCCTGTCCCTTCTTCTAAGGAAAAGGTGGAAAGGGAAAATAGATTTCATGGCGTAGTAGACAGATAGGGGAATCCTCTTTATGTGTGTGTCTTCTTCCGTCAATTAAGAGTAGGCAACGCATTTGCTATTACGGATGTCTATGGGCAGCGGTCGCTTCTGTATTCGGCGAATTCAGAAAGCCACTCGCTCATTTGCCATCTATACTAATATTATAAAGAGGAAAGATTTTTATTTTTGTATGTATTGAAATAACTCAAAAACTAATTGGACGATTTCAAAAATTCTTTCACCATTAGAGAGGTAATTTGTCAGTGCGTAACATAGGTTAACCTTTTATTAATTCATTATTTCACGGGGACGAAGTCTCATGTAACAGCTATTCTAATAATATTTAAAAAAAAGGTCACAACAAAACAGTGTAGATTACATATAACTTAGTGCCTAATTATTTTTAAGCCTTTTAATTAATAAAAGCCTTCCGTTTAAAATCTATCTAATCTGTTATATCTGTTTGTTTTTATACAAAGAAAAAAATGTCTTATTTCCAGGATAAAAGGCTCAAAACGTATGTAAGGATGTACAGTGAGAATTGGGAGCTGATTGCTGCGCAGTTTCCAGACCGCTCCGATGTGCAATGCCAGCAGAGGTGGACGAAGGTCGTCAATCCTGAACTAGTCAAGGGGCCATGGACCAAGGAGGTATGTAATTCTACCGTTATAAGTTTTTTTTTCTAAATTTGAAAACTTGACCCTGGCCACTATATTGTATAGGTTATAAGTCGTGGTATTTTGTGCCCTATTTTCGCCTATTTGGCGCTGATTGTAAAGATTTGTTGCGGTGTTGGAAACTCGAACTAATAGAAAAAGTATTAGTTGACAGTAATATTAAATGTTCGAAATTTGAAAAATGACTATAAATTCGAAATGCAACTAAAGCTGTCATTGTCATTGTTTTTATAGTGTTCTAAATTCAAAAACTCGAAGTAAACGTCTCTTATTTGTCACATTTCCTGTAATTTTGCGCATATTTTGAGATAAAGTTATAAGGTATGAAAAAGTTAGATTACTTTAAAGTTTAAAGTAGGTTAATATTTTGAACAATCGAAACTGCAACAGATAATAAATTCGAGCAATATTACTGTTTTCTGGAGTAAAATTGTATTTTAATTCAGATGACTAAGAGATTATCATAAAGTACCCTTGTCCTTGAGGGTCGGCATAGTATTTGCTGCTCTTTCATACATCTATTAGCTGTCATATCTGAATCCCTATAGCATATCTTTCACACAGTTCATCCATACTTCTTCCTCAACCTTAGTAGCTGTAATAATGTCCTTGAGATTAGTACCAAAAGAGAAAGTTACTTTATTCTACTGGTTTGTCCGGGATGCATCTCAACATAGACTTATAGCTAACAAACCGGTTTGAAGTGTTTGATTTGAGTCCCGGTTTTAAGAACGTTTGAATATTAGAGCAATACCGATAGAAAGTTATTGAGTAAAAAGTTACAATGTCAGTGAAAAATGTTACCTCTGTTTTTGTAAAGTTATTACTGCTTTTCCTTATCCCTATAATGCTAATATGAATCGCATTATACAAAATCCTTGAATCTGTTCAAATGTACAGACAGCAATAAATTAGTACATAGATAATACAGTTCTACTATTTTTTTTTTATTTATAAAGGACTAGCTTTCGCTCGCCCGTTCGCGTCTAATTAAAAAAAAACAAAAGTGTTTTCACACACAAACCAAATTTCATCGAAATCCGTTCAGCCGTTTAGGCTACAAACTCTAACAAACATCCATCCATCCATCTATCCATCTGTCTAAACTAAGTACTGCTCTTACTCCCTCGTGTGAAACTTCTAGGTGTTCTAATATTTCGTAATTTCTGTAGTATTACGTAAATTCACACGCTTATGATCTTACCGCTAAATGATAACGGTTTGTTACCTCAGAGTGTACAAACAGAACAGGCCGTTGACACTTGTAATGTTTACGTTTTCACTGGGAAGAGATTTTTTTTACGTACGAGAAGTTACTTTTAAAACACCGCTTTATTTATGTAATCTACACTAATATTATAAAGAGGAAACATTTGTATTATTGTATGTATTGAAATAACTCAAAAACTAAAGTTAGTATTAAATAACTAGCTGTTGCTTGCGACTTCGCCCACGTGAAAATATAGCCTATGTTACTAACAGATAAATTACCTTTCTATATTCTATTGAATAATACAATTGTGAATACAAGTACAGCCAGCATCATATGAACACAGTTGACGGTCACTACACTTAAGTTGACAATTACACAAGTACAGCCAGCGTCATGTAAACACAGTTGACGGTGACTACACTTAAATGTACAATAACATATATCTGTTATTTACAAGTACAGTCAGCGTCATATGAACATAGTTGACGGTCACTACACTTAAGTTGACAATTACACAAGTACAGCCAGCGTCATGTAAACACAGTTGACGGTGACTACACTTAAATGTACAATAACATATATCTGTTATTTACAGGTACAGTCAGCGTCATATGAACATAGTTGAATGTGACTGTACTCAAATGCACAATTACACACCTCTGTCTATCCGATGAGTCAGGGTTCAATAACACTTGTGCATTTGCACGCCCATTCTAATGTGTTAACTTACCCGTTCCTCCTCTATCCCTTGTATTTGTATCAGGGTTGTTGTATTTATTCGGGTAAATTGGTATCATTTCACTATTAGTGATGGATGGATGTTAGGTTGTACCTTCAAGGCAGCTCAATGGAGCTCTATGGAATTTGGCACAGATATAATACATTCTAGAAGCAGACCATAGACAAGTTTTTTTTTTATAAATTTCCTACAAATGCAGTCGCGAGCAAAAGCTAGTTTTATGAATTTTTACAGTGATGAAAGATCTATCGCCATTAGTATTTGTTAAAAGTTTAATGTAAAAAGTAGAGTCCCTTTTATTTATTTACTACTTGTCGCCAGCGGCTCCGTCCGCAAGAAATTAAAAAAAAACTGCCTATGTGTTCCAGACTATCCTCTACATCTATACCAAATTTCGTCGAAATCGGTTCAGCCGTTTAGACTACAAACTCTAACAAACATCCATCTAAACTTTCGCATTTATAATATTAGTATGATGTATTATTTCGCCAATTATACAGGATGATATAAATATGTGCTAAGTACCAGCATGTCCCATTCATGTTTTTTTTTAAATAGCACACGTCAAATGACATTCTAACAAATAATACGTCTTCTGAGAGTTTATGAATGAATCCATTGTTAGATGATACGCGGTACGCATAAAATTGATATCGTACTAGGGTTACCGACTGACCATTTTGGACTTTAGACTTACATGGAAACAAATGCTTAAAACATGCTCAATTTGTTACTGTTTTATTTAGTAGCATTCGCCCGCGACTCTGTCCGTGTTGAATTAAACATAAACAAAATTAACTATGTGTGTCTCCAGTACTACTAATACCTCTATACAAATATGGCAAATTTCATCGAAATCCATTCAGCAGTTTAGGCTACAAACTAATAAATTCCCATTTATGTTATTATTAAGATATATAAATAATTAATTCGACATTCATTGTTAAAAAAAAAATAAGTTTCATAACATGTTTTTGTAATTCAAACGTAAGCTTAGACAACACATTGACAGCCCTTATCGAAATATTCGAAACTATTACTATCAGAGCATTATGTCATGTCATGCCATGCCTTCCTCGGATAAACTGGCGTCCTTGAATCTAGGTGACGTCATAACAGATGATTAAATCGTTCTTATGCTATTTGCATTCGTCTGACATTTAAATACCCTGTGTATCTTAAAATAATATTTAAATTTGCTTATTTTGGTGATGGAATTTGATTATGCTGCGAAATATATCTATACTATTATAATAAAGTGTAAACACACTTCTTTGTTGCCTAAGATGTCAGCAATTACAGCATATTTTTGAATAGTTCTTTTTTTAATAAAAAGCCCTACATTTACGTCACGCTTTAGGCTATATATTTTCACGCAATTAAATTTAGGTATAAATATTTTGGATAAAATTCCAATGTGGGAAAGAGACCATAAGTTGCTGCCAACATCAAGGCAGCAATTGTTATTTGTGCATTTGAATTTTGACATTTCATGCGGATAAATAACTAAAAATCGAGCAGTGTTCGCACCTCCATATAAGAATCAAAGAGGGACTAAACAGTTGTGCAATAGTTTAGTTTTTGGTGTTCGCAAGCTGTAAAACTTGTATGTTCAATTCGATATAGGAAGTGGACAATTATTGTGATTTGGTAAAAACATGGTCCAGTATTAAAAATAACAAGGATCTGTAAACTATGAATTTACTGGTTTTCCTTCCTGTAGATATCCTTTACATGTATTGAATATAAATGCTAGAACATTACGATATGTGTCATAAAACAGCAATAAAGATTTACGATCTATTTGTATTATGAATGGTTGGCAAATGTGTAACATATGCTAATCTATTTTATAACCATTATTTACTACATGTCCTTCTCACTCTTTATGTGGAAAGAGAGAGAACGGTATAGTTTTCAGATATAAGCAATGTTTATTATAACCACGTGTAAACCTACGCGATCTCACGTCCGTTACTGGAATGCAATTTGGTTTTGATGACATCATTCTACGGATATTGGGGTTTTTGTCGATACATTATGTATATCATACTTAATACTAATGTTATAAATGCGAAAGTTTAGATGGATGTTTGTTAGAGTTTGCTGAACGGATCTCGATGAAATTAGGTATAGATTTAGTAATCTGGAAGTACACATATACTCTCTTGTTTTTACCACGCGTACGGAGTCGCGGGCGAAAGCTAGTATCATCTATACTAATATTTTTAAATTTTACTATGTATTGAAATAACACAAGAACTACTAGGCCGATTTCAAAAATTCTTTCACTTACAAAAAGGTACGTTGTCTCTTAGTAACATAGGCTATATGTTTAACTATGTTTTTGAAATCCACGTGGACAAAGTCGCCAGCAATAGTTAGTCTTAAATATGGATAATATGTCTCAGCTGATCGTGTTTTTTTTCCACCCACACAAACCAGCTCACCTTGCGATGTAACGTATTTTCGTATGGCTCACGATTCTTTTATTTAGTTTTTTACTGTATTAAATTATTATTATTTGACATTAATTCGATAAAGGTGCGGTTGAATGATGCTTGGAAAATTTTATGGACACTAAACGTTAACATTTTTAACACAACAATTACACTAACAGCCTAACAAATAAACGTGGTAAAAAGTTAATTTGGAAAAAACTGATTATAAGCAGAAATTTGTACTAATATTTGTTTATACTTAGTTTGTTAGAAATTGACAAGCAAAAGGTTAGCGTGGTATGGACATGTTATGCGACGAGACGATGGGGACATAAACCTGAAAATGTTGAGATTGAATGTGAATGGCTACAAAATAAGAGTAAGACCGAAGAAAGTATGGATGGATTGTGTGAAAGAGGATATGTTTAAGAAAGGAGTGGATTCAGATGTGACGGCTGATAGAGATGTATGGAAGAGCAGCACATACTGTGTCGACCCTCCGTAAGGGATAAGGGCAAGTTGATGACTCAGTTTATTCTTAAGTTTAACTTCGCGTTTATTTGCAAGGCTGTTATAGACAAGTATTAAAATTGGTTCTAACATTTAATATAAATTAAAGAGTAGTCCTAATTTTTTTCCCTATATTTTATGTTACAGGAAGACGAAAAAGTCATGGAACTGGTCGCCAAATACGGTCCGAAGAAATGGACACTTATAGCTCGACATTTAAAAGGAAGGATAGGAAAACAATGCAGGTTGGTACAGAAATATACGATCATACTTGAACTTCTCTTTAATATTTTACTATATCTATGCTATTATAATAAAGCTTATACACTCAACTTTGTGGCGTAAGATGTTTGCAATCACTGCGTATTTTTAAAAACTTCTTTCTTTAATAAAAAGCCCTACAGTTACGCCACGCTTTAGGATATTCATTTTAATGTTACTTGATTGTTAAAAAACTTCGTGTGGGAAAGGGACCATAAACTACAAGCTGCCAACATCAAGGAAGCAAGGTTGTCATGGTACCGATTATTGTTATCCAACGACTTTCGTTGTCATTTGTACATTGAAATTTAGACATTATCAAATTTTAAATTTCACAAATTTAAAGAATGAAATAAAGTTTTTATATTTTCATGCGGATAATGCCGCAAGGGAACAGCTTGTATTAAATAAATTGAAATCCAACCTATTAAATTTCCAGAGAACGTTGGCACAATCATCTGAACCCATCAATAAAGAAGACAGCGTGGACGGACCACGAAGACAGAGTGATATATCAAGCACACAAACAACTCGGCAATCAGTGGGCGAAGATCGCTAAACTCCTGCCGGGCAGGTGAGTAGACAGTTATTCCCAACCGTCACCCTATCTGTCCCCACGTGGGAATAACAAGTTTCATGCGCCCCACCTTTCAGTCACACTATTACCAATAAGGTGAAAGATGGAACCGTTTTGAAATAAAATAACTTCTAACCGTCCCCTCGTCGCAAAAGGTGGGACGGCTGAAGCTTTTTACCATATTCTCTTCTGTCTCCCTATGGGGACAGAGCGGGATGACGGTTGGGAGTAATCCAGCAGAACACCGTAATCCTAAATTACATTCCAAAAGTTAAAGAAATTTAACAACAGTCTTCACCATTTATGGTAAATTAATAAAATTTAAAGAAATAATATAATAATAGCCGCCATTTTTTTAACTTTTCCAGGACAGATAATGCGATAAAAAACCACTGGAATTCAACAATGAGGAGGAAATACGAGCCAGATATATTGGACAGCTTCGAGAACATTCGCCGCAAGCAGGCGCGCGCCAAGAGCCGGGAGCACGCGGAGAACGCCGACACCAGCAACGTGCAAATACTATACAATGAAGTAAGTTATGTTGAAAAGGTCAATTCGACTGTTTTTTTTAAATCGGTCCTGATGGTGTAAGAATTTTTGAAATGGGTCCAGTAGTTTTTGAGTTATTTCAACATATACAGATGCAAGTTTTTCTTATAAGGTAGTAAACGAGCAAGCGGTCATCTAAATAAGTCAAAATGTCGGCTAGAGCTAGCTCGATATCAGAATTACTATCTCTCGAGATCATGTGTGGACGGTCATTGGTAAAGTTGGATGCCAGGAATACATTCACAATACTCCTCAGTCAGGATATCATCGATCTACCAAGCTCATATCGTTCAAACAATGTTCTCAACGATCCCTATCTATACTATTATAATAAAGCGTAAACACACACTTCTTTGTTGCCTAAGATATCAGCAATCACAGCATATTTTTGAATAACTCTTTTTTTAATAAAAAGCCCCACACTTATATTTTTTCACGCCATTAAACTTAGGGATAAATACTTTTATCCAAAATGTGGGAAAGAGACCAGTTGTTGCCAACATCAAGAAAGAAAGATTGCTAAGGTTGTCATCATGTCATGTCATTTTGACATTTGCAATTGATAATTTGACAAATGTAAACAATAAAATGAAATTTATTTTATTTGCGGATGAAGTCGCATGGGAACTAGTTTTCAGAATAATCTAAGTTCTCTCGAAAGTCACTTGGCGGCGCTCTTATTCTAATTATGATTTAAATTCAAATTGATTTCTTCTGATTTCGACATATATATAAAAAAAATGTTTGTATTTCAGCAGAGTTGGACGGATCCATTCAACGAATCGATACAGAGTAATACATCGTCCAGTGCGCCTTCGAAGCAAGTGCAGCACTTCAGGCAGCTGCTGAAGGAGCAGCTTGCCCTGCGGCCGCGCTCGCCGCGCTCGCCGCGCTCCCCGCCGCGCCGCCTCGTCGCCGTCGACACCGTAGAGATAGTCGAGTCACCTTTCAAGTCAGTATAATAAGGCATATGCATGTATTTTTTTCTTTTTTTAAACGATTCTACTTGTTATAAAATAACCGAAAAAAATTGACGCTAAAATATTATATATAGATAAGCCACTTGCTTCGACCAATATTGTGCGTTTTAGAACTTAGCGAGGGAATTTGAAAAAAGACACTTTTTAATGATTAAATTTTGCCACTAAATTACACTATATTAAAAAAAAATCTTTGCAGGAATGTTTTTATAGTTCTAAAGTATACTTAAAAAAAGTTTGGTACAATTTGGCGTCATATGCATATTGCCTATTCTGAAGAGGAAAGTAAGAGTTTTTTTTACTATTGTAATTTAAGATAAATGTTTGTATTAGGATCTTTTCATAATAGTTAATGGCGGGAATGACTAATGTAACTATAGTATATTTTTTTAGAAATACGGAAAATAAAAAAAAAATATAATAGAATGATTACGCTACGTAACGTAAGATACATATACATATAATAAAACGAACAGTCCGCAAACTTCGTTAGCATGGAATAAAAAAAATGTCGTCTATATTCCCGTGTGCTTCTTACCAGATATCTTCCAAAGTCCCGTCCAAATCGGTCCACCCGATCCAGAGATAGCGGTCTGGTCGCCATTTTGACAGCACTCATATGTAAAGATAAAGATAGATTAATCCTTAATTTGACTAGAAAAAAGGATTAGACCTTAAAGTTTCCTGAAAGAGGATATGCTTAGGAATGAATTTAGATATGACGGCTGATAGTGATGTATGGAAGAGTATACTATGTCTACCCACTTGGGACAAGGGCAACCTGATTTTTGTCAAAGTTAGTTTTTAAATTAATTTTGACGTTTTCTATTTTCAGATATGTAAACATTGATTCTCTACCTGACTCTCCGATCAAAAGCTATTTATCACAAGCCACAACTTCAGATAATCAATCTGTGAATTCAAGTACAAGTAAGTAATATATTTATTTTCATACTCTGCTCTACATGTATGCCAAATTTTATCTAGATCCGTTCAGTCGTTTATGCTACAAACTCTAACAAACATCCATCCATTTAAACTTTCGCATTTATAATATTAGTAAGATTACTAGCTTTTACACGCCATTCCGTCTGCCAGGATTATAAAAAAACAAAAGTAAATATCTGATGTGTTCTTTCAGATAGTTCTGTATATCTATGGTTTTCATGTAGACTCATTCAGCAGTTTAGGCTAACAAAAATCCATCCATCTAAACTTTCGCATTTATAATATTAACTAGCTTTCGCCCGCGACTTCGTCCTCGTGGAATAAAAAAAAAACCAACAGACAAATTGTCGGTCAAAAAGTGGAAAGCCTATGTATTCTCCCGGACTATGTCAAATTGCATAGAGATTCGTTCAGTCGTTTAGGCTACAAACTAACAAACATACATCCATCTAAACATTCGTCTTTATATTATTAATAAGGTAATATAAACGTTATATAACAATTTTCCAGCGAGGTACGCGCTGGAGGCGGGCTGCAAGGAGATCGAGGTGCCGTCGGTGTACGTGTCGCCCAAGAAGAGCGCGGAGTGCAGTCCGCCGCCCATCCTGCGTCGCCGCGCCAAGCGACCGCACGCACACACCGCACACACCGCACACACCGCACACACAGCCAATGTATGACACTTATTGTTCACTATTTAAGGCCTCGTCCCACCACCGGCTGATAGAGGCTCAGATAGCTTGTTTTTTTTACACAATAAGGTGGCAAATGAGCAACCGCCCACCTAAATCGACGTACATAAAGAGGATATTTCCCCTTTCTATGCGTCTCCTCCACCGTCAATTCCTCTTTCCCATCCACCCTTTCCTTATAAGAAAGAGTTGGAACGGAAAAGGTAGTAAAATAGGGCCTCCGGCACCACGCTGATCAGACTGTAAGTGGAATTGCTCCCACTTCACGCCTGTGTTGTGTGGTCGTGGTATTCTACCACTGTAAAATATGTCAGATAAGGTAACACAATTCGATATTTCCATCACATATTTTACACGTTCGATTCCTATCAGACTATTTACAATTTGGTAGATGCTCTTAGAGTTTGCCCTACCTAATTCTTGTAAATTGTCTGATAACAATCCAACGTCTGAAATATGTAATGGAAACATCTGATTTTGGTACTCTGTCAGTGACGTCACTTTTAAGCTATCTGAGCCTCTATCAGCCAGTGGTGGGACAGCCTCTTAGTGTCTTAATTCAAGTTGTTTAGTTATTAATCACTTACAAGTTTGTCACATTATGATATACTAGCTTTTTATCACGACTTTGTCCGCGTGAAATTAAACAAATCGTAAACAATGTAGCATATATTACTGATAGTTTTTTTATTGGTGAAAGAATTTTTTAAATCTTACAAAAAGATCTTTCCTCTTTATATTAGTATAGATTGTGTTTTGTACTTTGACTTTTAACTATGGCCTAGTCACCCCATACTTAGGGTAGCTACGAGTCCCTCGGTGGGGACATATAGTGAGCTGGTGAAGATGATGTGTTTTGTACATTCCAGACGTGGTCGGAGGCGATCGCCAAGGCCTTAGAGCCGAAGGAGTCAGGAGTGACGCCCATCAAGGCGCTGCCCTTCAGCCCCTCGCAGTTCCTCAACTCGCCCGCCGCCGCCTCCTTCGCGCACTTCGACTCCACGCCGCTCAGGACATATGGAAAGGTATTATACTTACAGAACTATCTTTAATTCTTTCGGTTTCTGTTTCGGAATAAATTCTTTAATTTCGGTTTCAGCTTAAATATAGCCTTTTTGTCTATTGTTGCGATTTCGCCGGCGTGAAATTAAAAAAAATGATTAATTTTTTTTTTGATTTCACATATTTTTTCACGTTTTTTTTTATTTCACTATCGTACTAATCGTTCTAACGGTGAAATTTTTTAAATCGGCCCAGTAGTTTTTGAGTTATTTCATGATATACAAAACTACAAATCTTTCGTCTTTATAATATTAGCATTGATGTGATTTTTATGTCTACAAAAATCAAATAATTTTGTATCTATTGAAAATCGCGGAATATAAATTACAACGCTTTTGATCTGTCGATTAAGAATCCTGTGTTAGAATTTTTTATAGTATACTGAATTTCAATACATCATAAATATGTTTTCTAAAATTTCTGTTTGGGTTCGAAACAGAGCAAAGCCGAGTAAAAAAACAGAGCAGACATTTTATCTATAGACGATATCCTTATCTATACTAATATTATAAAGACGAAAGATTTGTATTTTGTATGTATTCGATTTACGTAAAAATTACTGGGCCGATTTTAAAAATTCTTTCACCGTTAGAAAGGTACTTTATCTGTGAGTAACAGGGTATATTATTATTATTTCTTAATTTCACGCGGGCGAAGTCGCGAGCCACAGCTATATTTTGTTACTTTCAATTTAATTTCTTATTAGTTTTTTTAAATTTTAAAGTCGGATTTCTGTTTGTTTTATAAAAGAACTAGCTTCCGCCCGCGACTCCGTCCGCGCGGAATTAAAAAAAAACAAATGCAAGTAGCCTATGTGTTCTTCCAGACTATTCTTTACATCTATGCCAATTTTATTAAAATCCGTTCTGCCGTTTAGGCTACAAACTCTAACAAACATCCATCCATCCATCCATCCATCCATCTATCTAAACTTTCGCATTTATAATATTAGTACGATTTAGTGTTAAATAAGTTATTATATGTTTTCCAGGAGTGGAGCGCGAGTCCGCTGCTGCAGACGCCGACGCC